AATTTTTGAAAGCACACTAGTTTGAAGAAGAAAATAGAGAAGTCTCATCAGGAAACCTATATATCTTAAACAGAACCATTTCTATAAATCAAAATGACCACCAAAAGACTTATTACAGCATTCACTTTCAAGTGGACTCATTTCCAAATACTATATATCTGCTGTAAAATGACAAAAAACACAATGTTTCTATTAAACCATGGCAAGTGTTTGCCTCCACTTAATTCATCCTGATAAAAATCTCATTATTTCGAAGACATATCTTTATTTTTGATACTGAAACAAAACCTAAAAAATAACATAATATTCTTAGCATAAGTGTAAGTACTGCTAGATATATTCCCAAGATATTTTATTAAATCTGCTTTTTATGGAATGATGCTTGTGGCTCAGCAGAAAGAAGAATTCATCCAAAATCCCAAATACTTGATATTTAAATAATTTCACATACTCTTTGTTCAATCTATTATTCAATTCTCAGCATTTAGCTGTGGAGGTAGATCAATACTGTGTGTGTACGTATGTACAGAGACTGGGAGTATGGGGGCATTTTTTGTAAGAGGAGGCTTCTCAGAAAAGACACCCTGACTCAGTCTGAAAGGATATCTAGTAGCAAGACAGGTCAAAAAAAATTTTTTATGAAATAAGCAGAGGGAGCAATGTTTGCAAGGACACACAAAAAAGGAGATAATACTGGACACACGAGTAGCTCTTTTGGGTCAGAATATGGGAATTCTTGGGGGAATTAAGAAGGAAGAAGTTGGGCTGGTGTGTAAGAGCAGGATCCTGGTGAGCTTATGTCATGACAAAAAAATCTGAATTCCATTCTGAAGGCAATGAGAGTTACTGAGGGATTTAAATAAAGTAGAGATTGGTTGCAGTTGGATGTTAGAAAGTACAAACTGGTGGAGAGCAGGTAGTAGTGATTAGTAGAGCGGAATAGACTGAAACTGGAATTTTCAAAATCCAAGAGAAAAAAAATGTACGACAAACAAAATCAGAGTTGGATGAATAATAATGATAAATATGTAGAGACAACTGGAGAAATATCAGAACACACTCTCAATAATGTTTTGCACCAAATTAATGTGGAGGTGAGAAAGAGGAAGAAGAATTGAAGAATGACTCCTTGGCTTCTAATGTGAGACCAAACAGACATCAATGACTAAATTAGAGAACATAGGAAAAGAAACAGAGTTTGAAAGAAGATTGGAATTTAATTCTAAACATGCTAATGTTGAGTTTCTGTAGCAAATGGATGCTCACTCAACTTATAAATCTGTTCTCCTTGCCTTCCTTTATTACAGAGGCCAAATTTAAACACTCAGTTTTCTTAGCCTCCCTAGCAACCAAGGTTATCTGACTGATGATCATATAGCTGATGAACAACATGTCCAAAACTATTTCTTATGCCATTCCTTCCTTCTTCCTATCCTGAATGAGAGAGGTTATTTCAGAAGCATAAGATGGCAAGCATGAGGCAAATAGCAAGGAAACCCCTTAGTCCTTGAATTTAGCAGTATCAGAGTTGAAGAATCTATGCCATGACTATCTATCTCCTCCTTGTCATCTGACATGTGCAAGTCACTCAGTCATGTCTGACTCTGCAACACCATGGACTAAGCATTCCATGGAATTTTCTAGGCCAGACTACTGGAGGGGGTAACCTTTCCCTTCTCCAGGTGATCTTCCCAACCCAGGGATGGAACCCAGGTCTCCCACATTGCAGGCAGATTCTTTACCAGCTGAGCCACAAGGGAAGCCCCAAAACACTGGAGTGGGTAGCCTATCCCTTCTCCATGGGATCTTCCCAGCCCAGGAATTGAACTGAGGTCTCCTGCATTGCAGGTGTATTCTTTACCAACTGAGCTATCAGGGAAGCCTATTAAGTCATCTGAGCAAAAGCAAAAATCTCAGACTTTTCTGCTTTCTTGCATCCCAATGCATATCTAACCCTATTTTCCATTGGAATAGGATTTTCTCATGGAAATGTCCAGAAGGTGTTGGGTTGGCTCTGCCTGCCTCTCCCTCCTTGGCCATCACCACCAGGACCACATGAGACTGAAACCATTGACTCTAGTCATCCAGAACCCTACTCCAGGGAGGTCACTGCCAAATGCAAAAAATCAACACAAGACTAGGTCTCACGGTTCCCAAAGGCTAGTTCTGTTCTTAAACCTAGAATTGGCTGACTTCACAAAAATTTCCTAAGGACATTATTTAAATGTAGGCCTCATCCTCAGTGATTCCCATCTAGCAGGGCTGGAATGAATCCCAGAATCACTCACTCTTTTACGTGATTCTGATGATTAACTAGATATAGTCTGTCAGTGCCTGAATTTGACTAGAGAGTCATTTGAAAATTTAATGCCACCTAATTTTACCATCTCTCACAGTCCCACCATTTATAAAATGTAACCCCATCTGAATGCCAATCCTATCCCATAATGCTTTATCCTTTGTCTCCTTTATTAGTCCTCATGCTGCTGTGTTTTCCTCCCAAAAGTTTAAATACGCCTTCAATCTTCATTCTATTTGAAAAACAAAAAACAAAACCCGTGCACCCTCACCTTCAAAGATTCAAAGAACACTCTGTGACCTTACCTGAGTATGGAATTTCTCTAAAAGGAAACCACTCACTCTGCAGCTTTCCCCAAGGCAAGATATCTTTTTCCAACGCCCCATAAAACACAAGGCCAAAAATTAAACTCATCATCCTTCTAAATCCCCAACATTGCTTCCATACAGTGATTTATTCTTCCATGTTGTAAAAACATCTTGGCTCACGACATTGAACTTACAGCCCTGGGTCATCCATGCAGGAGGTCTGATTTCCATATTTATTGAAGACTTCAGTCATGGATTTCAAAGTTGTCTTCTCTAGAGCTTTATCTTATAATCTTGTATAAATGTAACAATCATGTAAAAGCCCTACCCAGTAATTGAGCTTTAAAATCCATGTCTCATCTTCATTAAACTTTATTTCCACATCACCTCAGAACAATATGGTGATAACACTATCTAGAACTATTCTTAGAAATTGGTGGCAGTATTTTTCTATGTGACCACAACTTTTCTTTGAATGTCCAAGTATCTGATGCTCTCACTCCCACTATTACTGCATTTTTTTATTTCTATAGTGATTTTACGGAGTTCAAGTGCTTACTAAAAATCTGGCATTTGTCTTCTGAGTAATAATTATGGCCCATCTACACAGGCCTTTGTCCTAGTGTATGGATCATGGGTACTTAGAGAAATGGCTTTGCTTCCCAGAGCTGAAGATGAAGAGGTAAGTTCATGTCTGAAATGAGAGCAGAGTCCTATTACAAGCAATCTCAGGTCCCAAACACAACCCAAGCATTTTCCTCTGTAAATTTGCTGTGTAAACAGTTTCAATGGCAACAGCCATTTCCTAACTCCCTGATGGTCCAGGAAGTCCAGTCAACAGCTGATTTCATGGCTTTGTTCTCCTTTGAGGGTGATCAGCCAGACTGGGCAATAAATACAACTATTAGGGATCATTTTGTCTGGCAGACCTTAATTTCTGTAAAAACTATTAAAATGAGATATATAATGTCCCTGCTGAAGTGATCAGGGTCAGGGACTAGATGTTTCATTAAAAATTAAGTGTAAGTGGGCTGTGCTCTGGTTCAGAAACAATCATGCAGGGTAACAGAAGAGAGATTAGGGGAGTTTTGAATGGCAGATCAGGCGTTGCCTGGAGTTGACAATGGATTCTCTACTGGCGTATTGCTTCCCTTCTGATAAATCTAAGGAACATTATCTTCTTTTAGTGAAAAGTCACTGATGTGCTTAATAATAATGCTTAAATAATAATAATGCTTAAATTATTTACTTCTAGGAATGGGTGGAGGTTACAGTCTGTTCCTTTAAAGTTCTACATTTCACTTATCTATATTTCAATTTATCCTATCATTATTTCTTACTAATATATATGGAGAACTGAAAATACAAAGATGAAAGAGAACTTTGTGTGTTCCATGTTTAGAGGGGCTGTCATTAGCTCCTATAAATTTACCTTGATTTGAGTGACAAGAGACACAAACTTGTAAGCTCTTATAACAGCAGAAGTGCTTTTTAATCATCAAAGCACAATGCAAGCATCCTTTATCGTTTCCTTGGTCTCTCTTAGGTAGCCTGGAACATTTTTTCTTAACCACATTTCTTCTGTTACTGGAACATTTTGATTTTAACCAAAAGTACCATTTCTTTTTATCCAACTAGAACTCAGAACACTCTCTACAAAATAGCTTTCTTGATTCTACCATATCATAATAAAATTTCAAAAGGAAAAAATTCTATCAAATATCTATACTCAAATATATCAAATAAATGTGATTATTGCATATTAGACTAGTGCTGCGATTCATGGGGTCGCAAAGAGTCAGACACGACTGAGCCACTGAAATGAACTGAACTGAATTTCATCCTTACCTTATATTTTAAACATTGAACTTTCCTATTGATAACAATGTGAATGGTGAATTGAATATTACACAGTTAATATAATCACAGGACTGATATGGATAATTTTTTAGATCTGATGTGTGGTTTATTGATCTAGTTGTTTCAGTCTAAATAGAAAATAGATTATAACTAATATACTTCCCCATTTGTGTCTTTCAGTGGCTTAGCTAAATTGATTCTCCAAGAAGACGGTTTCAAATCAATGGGGGCCAGTTTTCTCCTGATATCCTAGAAGGCATAGAATTCTCTGGGCAAGATTTAACTAACCAGTGTAAATACTGCTACAGGGTTCCAAATCTGAGACTAAATTACACACTTCAGTTCTTTATAGTAGCTTGTGTTCACCTCTAGCACAAATCCAGTCATTGCACCACAGTGTATAAGGACAATAGAAAATAGCTCACTCTAAAACATTAAGCAAAAACAAAAGAGTAGATCAAAATCATTACACAATGTTTAAACTGAACTGAATTTATTATACAATAAGGATCAGAATGAGAAAAATATCTTACCATCTGCTGGCAAGCAGCCTGAGCTGAAAGATATATCATCAATAGCTATGACTTCATCCTGAGCTGAAATCATCTGGCCTTGAAAAACAATCTGGACAAGAAAAATAAACAAAAATAAAGAACAAGCAACAGTATTGTCTCACAGTCTTGTAGCACAGAATCTACAAATAAAAGAAACATGATACTTCCTAGAAGCACATGGGTGACCATGCCAATTCCAAATGGAGAGAGATCTATATTTTGAAGAACAAAAAAATGCCGGGATGGGAGGGGAGTTGGAGGGAGATTAGATGCATGTATATGTATGGCTGACTCCCTGTCCACCTGAAACTATCACAACATATTTAACCAGCTATACTCCCATACAAAATAAAAAGTTTAAAAACAAAACAAACAAACAGAACACACCTGAACCAAAAAATGTAGTCTTCTCTGTATCTCACATGTTTAGAATAGGTTGGGTAACACATTTGTGAAATGAATCAACAATCACCTGGTTTCTTCCCTATATCATCTTTGGTTCCCATGCATTCATACTACTTAGCATTTACCAGTTCTGGGAGCCTCACTCCATCTTAAGCTCTGGTTCTCGGCATTTTGCATCATTAAGCAAAAATAAAGAGCAGATCAAAGTCATTACCTCTGGTTCTCTGAATTTTACTTGCAGCCCCATCTTCAATGTCCTTGTGCTATCCTCCTGCACATTTTCTGCCATTATCTAAACATAGCTTGGGACACTGACTGGAAATCATTGTTCAGTGACTTACTATTAAAATGACCAAATATTGTACTGTGATGTGAGGCCAGCCCAAGTCTCCACCAAGAGGAAATACTCTAGCATAATGAATCTGAAACATTTGGAAAGATCAAGTAATCCTAATTACTTAAATCAATAAAACATTGGTGTATTGGTGGAGAGTATTCTCCTGTCTTCACTAATGAATATCAATAATGTGTGAGGCTTAATTCATGGATGCATTAAACTTGTGTGCACGACTTAGCCTTGTTCATAATGTAAACATTATTTCAAGACGCCACACTTCTTCTTAGCTTAACAATTGGTCTGTATCACAAACCCTAGCAGATCATTTTGCTGTCCTGGATTTTCTTTTGCTCCTGTACAAGATGATGTCCTAATATATTTCCTTTCAAGCCAGAGATGTCTACTAGTCTATTAAAAACATGATGAAAAACATCCATAATGTACCCAGTGAACTGTCCATATGCAGCCCTAAGAAAGTCATCCTTCTTCACATAAATTAGAATAACCATGGGACTACTTACAAGTCAGGACCATGATGGAAAAAGTCTATCAAAGATTGTGATGTAGGGATGGTTTCATATGAAGGTATCATAGCATAGTGTGTATGCTCAGTCATGTCTGACTCTTTGTGACCTCATGGACTGTAGCCCGCCAGGCTCCTCTGTCCATGGGATTCTTCAGGCAAGAATACTGGAGTGGGTTGCCATTTCCCGCTCCAGGAGATCTTCCCAACCCAGGGATCGAACCCGTGTCTCCTGCATTGCAAAGCAGATTCCTTACCACTACGCCACCTGAGAAACCCCCATAGCATAGTGATTGAAGTGTATATTTGGAATCAGATTACTTGAATTTAGATCCCAGATACACCACTTTCCAGCAGGAAGACCCTGGAGAAGTTACTTAACACTTCTGTGACTCAGTTTATTTCTTTGTAAAAAGGTACTGATAAGAATAGTTATCACCTATATGATAAGGTGTATGCAAGGTAATAAAACAGTCATCACTTATACAACTGCACTTGACATATATAGTTGGCATTAAATGTCAGCTATTATGGCATAGAGTTATTAAAATATTTAAGCTACTATATAGTATTTACAAATTAAAAATCTACTATGCACAGATTAACTTTATGCTTCTTGAAAGCCTATTCACATAGAGACATTCCCTAGTTCCTGCTGAACTGAACACTTACCTATAGCAGCCACATTTAAAAAAAAATTTTTTTTTGGTTGAAATGCAATTATTTTAGTATAATTGAAAATATTTCTATAGTATTACAATGATCAAAGATAATCAAAAATTAATATTTGGATACTAATATTTCTTTTTTTTCATTTAGTAGTTGAAGGCTAATTACTTTACAATATTGTAGTGGTTTTTGCCATACATTGACATGAATCAGCCATGGATTTACATGTGTTCCCCATCCCGATCCCCCCTCCCGCCTCCCTCCCCATCCCATCCCTCTGGGTCTTCCCAGTGCACCAGCCCCGAGCACTTGTCTCATGCATCCAACCTGGGCTGGTGGTCTGTTTCACCCTTGATAGTACACTTGTTTCAATGCTGTTCTCTCAGAACATCCCACCCTCGCCTTCTCCCACAGAGTCCACAAGTCTGTTCCGTACATCTGTGTCTCTTTTTCTGTTTTGCATATAGGGTTATCATTACCATCTTTCTAAATTCCATATATATGTGTTAGTATACTATATTGGTCTTTATCTTTCTGGCTTACTTCACTCTGTATAATGGGCTCCAGTTTCATCCATCTCATTAGAACTGATTCAAATGAATTCTTTTTAATGACTGAGTAATATTCCATTGTATATATGTACCATAGCTTCCTTATCCATTCATCTGCTTATGGGCATCTAGGTTGCTTCCATGTCCTGGCTATTATAAACAGTGCTGCAATGAATATTGGGGTGCACGTGTCTCTTTCAGATCTGGTTTCCTCGGTGTGTATGCCCAGGAGTGGGATTGCTGGGTCATATGGCAGTTCTAGTTCCAGTTTTTTAAGAAATCTCCACACTGTTCTCCATAGCAGCTGTACTAGTTTGCATTCCCACCAACAGTGTAAGAGGGTTGCCTTTTCTCCACACCCTCTCCAGCATTTATTGCTTGTAGACTTTTGGATAGCAGCCATCCTGACTGGCGTGTAATGGTACCTTGTTGTTGTTTTGATTTGCATTTCTCTGATAATGAGTGATGTTGGGCATCTTTTCATGTGTTTTTGTGTCAGCTGTATGTCTTCTTTGGAGAAATGTCTGTTTAGTTCTTTGGCCCATTTTTTGATTGGGTCATTTATTTTTCTGGAGTTGAGCTGGAGGAGTTGCTTGTATATTTTTGAGATTAATCCTTTGTCTGTTACTTTATTTGCTATTATTTTCTCCCATTCTGAGGGCTGTCTTTTCACCTTGCTTATGTTTCCTTTGTTGGATACTAGGATTTCAAGGTGTCATAAGGTACTTGCAGCAGCCACATTTAAAGAGAAAAGTGGAAATAAGTGTTGACTAATCACCAGTCTCTCTCCTCCTCCACGCTCTCCCTGCAAACCATTCATCTTCAGGGCTGTAACTGTCACCCAAGCTGATGAATACATGTTTACATCAGGAATGTCAACCTCTTTCTCTTGAGCTTTCCTTCCCCATCTCTACCATCTGTTGAATATTTTGTCAGGTGACACGAAGCCACTTCTAATTCAAGATGTTCTTTCCTCTGGACCTCTGCCCTGACGCTCATCCTCTGAAAAATGGTACCAGGAGACTGCCATCTGCAATGCTCAAAACTCCAAAATGACCTTTGGAATCACTTTCTCCTCCAGTCATGTCCAATTGATCAAGACCTATTAAACCTTCTTTCCTTTCTGTTGCTATTTCCACTCCTACATCTTCACACCTAATTTAATGAAGTAGCTTTTATGTTATTTATTTGGCTCTGCCAGGCCTCAGTTGTGGCACGCAAATTCTTAGGTTCAATATGTGGAATCTAGTTCCCTTCCCAGGGATGTTTGAACCACAGGCCTCCTGCATTGGAAGTGTGGAATCTTAACCACTGGATCACCCAGGGAAGTCCCTGAAGTAGCTTTTAAATTACCTTCTTACCTTCAGGCCTCTCCTCAGAGTTTGCAACATGTGTATTTATTTATTTGATTCAGTTAAATTATAGATTAACTTGGTATAACTGAAGAGAAGCTAGTATGAAAATCGGCCGTCATTTAAGCCCACTACAAGAGCAAAGGTGTTCTCAGGGAAAAGAACTGCTTCTCTAATTGTAGGGAAATTACTTGTGGATCTATGTAGCTAGGAAACAAAAGACCCACAAGGTACAAGGAGATAATCCAGTTAAATGTGTTTAAACAAGAAGTTTCCAGGGATTTTGGTTGGGATCCTGAAAAGGGGGATGGGTGAACTATCTAAAGAATGTGGAAAGTGAGTGAAGTTGCTCAGTCATGTCCAGCTCTTTGCGACCTCCATGGACTGTAGACTGCCAGGGTCCTCCATCCATGGGATTTTCCAGGCAAGAATGCTGGAGTGAGTTACCATTTCTTTCTCGGACCTTCCCGACCCAGGGATCGAACCTGGGTCTCCCGCACTACAGGCTGGCTCTTTACTGTCTGAAACACCAAGGAAGCCCTTAAAGAACATGGAAACCCATGATAATTTTTTAAAAACCAGGCCCTGTAGTCAGAGGCTGTTTGTGATATGGTAATTGTGTTTCTAAGAGAAGTGATTAACATTCTTTGTTTTCTCCAAAGCTTTGGCAAATAACATTTTCCAAATAACCACCTCATTGTTTTCTGTTAAGTGAAGTAAAAAAGAACAAAAAAAGATAGGGACTTCCCTGGCAGTCCAGTGGTTAGGACTCTGTGCTTCCACTTCAGGGTGCAAGGATTTGATCCCTGATTAAGCAACTAAGACCCTGAGTGCCTCATGGGCACAGTCAAAATAAATAAAACAACAGCAAAGTAGCAAAATGAAAGCAGATCACAATACGGATAATGAAGTTAGAAGTTTGACACCATCACATAACTCAGGTATGGCCTGCACTGATGCAATGGAAAACATGAGACAAATTCCTTTCACCTCAGACATTTTAAGAGAAGATGGCTTCGGAAGGGAGGCTTTGTGCTTGAAATACTTGATTTAAATCTTAGATGAAACTTTTATGGCAGGTAAACAATGAATATAAACTCACTTGGATTATACTAGTAACAACATGAACTGAAACCCTTGCATTTATATCTTCTGTAAGAGAATTTTCCTAATTAGTAATATGCATTCAATGGTCTTTTTCAAGAAAATATATACAACACAAAAAGATGACAGTAGTCTTTTCATCGTCATGTGTTCACACAGTAAGTATTCTTGAGTTAAAAGATAAAATGTCTCGAATTATGATTTTGAAAAGTTTGAGAGTAGCAGTAAGCTAATAATTTATATTTATCATTATTAACCACATCTTTTATTCATATTAATAAAGCCTATTGTTTCTGAATGGGAGAGTGATGAGAAGTCTCTGGCATTTCTAAGTGGAATATCAGAGAAATGACAAGTAGATAACAGCATATTAAAAAATGCTTCAGTTATCCTCTTAAAATTCAGGCACTGATTTCAAGAATCCAGACTTTCAACTTGAAAATGCAGTCAATGATATGCTTAGTAACATAGTATTCATTCCTTCCTACCCATAAAACCAGTAGGGGAAGTCCCTTCAAAAGCCAGAAAAAAACAGGGATGAGGGGAGATTTCACCTGAATTTGATGCTAAATTTCAACTATATGTTTAGCCTGGTTTACCCTTTGCTTCTATGAATATTTTAAGACAATAGCAAAATTAATTGCTTTTGTCTGCAATTTTGAGAAATGTGATTGCAGTTCATTAGCACCATTCAATGCATAATAATGTTTCATCTAACACAGCAGACAAAGGATTGTTTAATAAGTCACATCAGATCTGACCAAATTTAGAGGTTGGATTTTTTTCCTATATTTTATAAATTCTTACATGGCTTTATTAGATAAAAAATTATCATGACTCAGTGACTGACTGAGATCTGAAATCAAACTACCCTATGTTCTAATCTTATATGGGATTTGGTAAGCTATTTCATTCTCTAAAGCTTACAGTCCTCTGGACTTCCCTGGTGCTCCAGTGGTTAAAACTTCACCTTCCAATGCAGGGGGCCTGGGTTCAATCCCTGGTTGGGGAACTAAGATCCCATTTGCCTCAGGACCAAAAATTCAAAACATGAAACAGAAGCAGTATTGTAACAAATTCAATAAAGAATTTAAACATGGTCCACATCAAAACATCTTTAAAAAATAAAGCTTACAATCCTCATGTGAACAATGGGGTAAATGATAGTTGAGAGGACTGTCATGAAGGGCCAATAAGATAGTATACATGAAGGACTAAATGCAATTCTTTACACACAGTAAGCACTCAATCAATACTAGATGTTATTCTTAAAACACCTTCAGAAACTTTCTGAAACACTGCCATCTCTGTGGACTAAATGCATAAACACCATTCCTAGTTTATATAGCAGCAGCCTCTCAGAAATTACCATACACTTCAGGTCAACAAGCGATGCATCCAGTTAGTCCTTTATAGGTGAAGGTGACAAAGTCCTGACACAGCAGCCAGATCCAGAGGCTTTCTCAGAAACCCATGCTAAGCCAGAGACCAGAAGGGACTACAATCTATTTAAGTATTTCTAAAGGAAGCATGAATGACTTTGAAACTATCAAGGCAGCATGGATGGGAAACTGCCAAGAAAAACAAACAAAAAAATAAACCCAGAATAATTCTAGGAGACTTGTAAATTGATGAGGCAGCAGATACTGTCTGGAGACGCTGATTACAAAATGCCCTCAAATAAGCCTCTTTCTAAAGCTTTTCAGGAAGAGCTACTACATAGTGGCAGGCAGTATTACAAGCACAGCACATCTCTGAGGCCCAGCTCAACAAAAGCAAATGAGTATCTGTTCACTTGCTGACAGGATAGAACTAAAACCTACCTGCAGTCTTAAAGATTGAGGTAGCCAAAAGATCCCAAGAGAGTTGTACAGTTTCCTAATTTTTAACAATGCCTTTAAGGTAGAAGCACTGTTTTCGTATAAGCAATAAAGGATTTTGAGAATCAAATTAATATGCTCCATGGGCATCTGCTTTGGTGGAAGACACTGCTGCATTTTAAAGCACTCAGGTGAATAATCTCACTTCTGCTACAGCTGAATTGCCCTGGAGATAATCTATTTGGGAATTTAAAGTTTTATAGTTATCTACTATACATATTTAATCATCAACCCCCACAATATGCTATTTGGGAATGGACAGCTGAGAAAAGCAAAGAATTTATATTAAAACACTTAATTTACAAGTAGCAGGTTCCCGCTACTTGTATCCAACATCAAATCTCTTGTCATGCTACTAATAAAGACCTTGGCCAAAATATTTATCTTTATTGTACTTTTCGTTGCTAAGTCATGTCTGACTCTTCTGTGACCCTTGGGCTATAGCCCACCAGGTTCCTCTGTCCATGGGATTTTCCAGGCAAGAACACTGGAGTAGGTTGTCATTGCCTTCTCCAGGGGATCTTCCTGGTGCCAGGGATCAAACCCATAACTCCTGCATTGACAGGCAGACTCTTTACTAAAATGAGAAGGCACAGAGCTTGACAAAGATAGCTTAAGACTCTTTTTTTTAATCACCCACTCTGTTTCAAAGTTGGAAAAGATGTATAAACACTGATAAAGTTTACACACAGACCAGAGTCCCAGAGCAGTCCTTAAGATTTAGACAAGCTTGCAGACAGGGGGACTTCAGCAAGCTCATCCTTCAGCATCTAGTCAGCGTCCCCTCAAAGGCACGCTTGGCTCTCTTTTGTTGCTCTTGTTGTTACAGGAAAGAGACAGACAGAGGGAAGTAAGAAAATAAAGTAGTAATATAATAAACTAGAAATTCCTCCTTTGGTTAATGACACCTGAACATCCACAACAAACTGGATGCATTCTTGTTGTCTGGGGTTCACACTCTGCACGGCACTCCCCACCAAGGCAGGAACTCAGGATGTCTTGCCCCTGTGCCTGAGGAGTCCTTTACAGGAGGACTTAACATGCCTGATGACTTAAAATACCACCCCCACCTCACACACACACACCAACAATGCTGGATTTCAAGAGGATGCAAAGCCTCAAATGACACAATTATGCTTCCAACTGTACAGTTCTCAAGTCATCATCCAGGAGTCACCTAGCTATCTACTAAATGATTTTCTTCCATCTTCTTTGGATCCCCATTTGGTTTTACAAAAGGCTGAAAATTCTGAACTTCAGTGATTTTACGACAGATCAGTTAAGAATATGTGCCATTCTTAAATCTTATCATTCAATTTTAATAATAGATGTCTTGTTCATTCTCCCATATTTCCTCTTAGCCACTCAAAATTCAATACAATTTACTCTATATATTAAGGCAAATGCTAAATCCATCACATGTCAGATGATTTTCTATTCCATATCAAAATTATAGAATTATTATATTATTCTAATAATAGATGATAAAGGAAACCTACCTGGGTTAAATTGACTCACAAACCAGGTTTAAAAAGCATATTTGTTCAGAATAAAATGTTTTAAGATCCCCTTTTTAACTGGAAAATTTTGCTTGGCTGCCCAAAATGTTAAAGTATGCACTATTTTTCTAAGAACTCCTGTAAGAGTTATTAGATTATAATTTCCATCACACATAAGTTTTATTAGGCTGCATAAATAAATGTCTTTTATAGGCTTACATTGGCTTTAATTCCCAAGATTACTTTGGAAGATGAAGGCTGTATTGAGTAATTTGAGTTTAACCATGAAATGAATATGACAATGATCCCACTTCAGCAGCATTTGGTATTAGTATTGAAAACAGACTATGTGCTCATGACCCAAGGCAATCCTGTTCTCTCAAAAGCTTGAGAAAACTGTGAAACAGAAGCAAATTTTTTTAATTGGAGGATAATTGCCTTACAATGTTGTGTTGGTTTCTGCCGCACAGCAATGTGAATTAGCCAGGAGTATACATGTGTCCCCTCCCTCTGGAATCCCTCCTCCCACCCCTCTAGATTGTCACAGAGCACCAGGTTGAGCTCCATTATATACTGCAACTTCCCCAAAGCTATCTATTTTACAAATGGTAATGTATATGTTTCAATGCTATTCTCTCAATTCATCTCACCCACCCCTAACCCCACTGTGTCCACAGGTCTATTCTCTATGTCTGCATCTCCTTTCCTGTCTTACAAATAGGTTTATCAGTACCATTTTTCTCGATTCCATACATACGCATTAATGTACGATATTTGTTTTTCTCTTTCTAACTTACCTCACTCTAGATTCATCCACCTCACTAGGAGTGACTCAAATTCTTAAGAATGCAAAATGAAATGAAAGAAGATTGGAATAATGAGAGAAAAAGGAAAGTGGAGGGGATTCAAGAAATTAGGAAGAGTATTAGAAGGTCATAGTTTACTGTTATATCAATATATGTCAGTATGTAACAAATTTAGTTTTGATACATAAGTTTTCAACTTCCTAAAACTGTGTTTTAGGATGACTGGCCACCCTAACTTCTTGGAACTATTTGGTTTCAGCACGTGACAGTCCTGGGAAATTCCTCAGTCCTCAGACAACTGGGATGATTAATCACCTGGTGTTAAACATCTCTACTTTATCATTTTTCTTTCAAAGACAGTTATAAAACACAACACACATACCTGAAACCTCTGGGGACTCTGAATTTTGATGACATTCCTCTCCCAATGATTCTGGAGCCCAGCAGTGTTTTGCCATAAATGCTGTGTAGGGCCATCACAGGTAGTTTGAAAGCCAGCCATTAATTTGCCATTCATTTGGCTGGAGAAGTAATAAAATGTAATCTATGAAAAATAATGAATGTCCACATGATTATAATAACGAAGTTCCCAAATGTGGAAAGTAATTCAAATGCCATGTGCTTTCAAATACCTGACAAGCATGTTGGGTATTCGTTGGAAGAAAAACTCTGCTGCTTATGTTTGAGGAAGTAGAATCCAAGTTAGAGACCAATGAGAGGAAGTGAGCTGTCAGAAACAAGACCATCATTGGTAAACTTATTCAATACACCAGGCAATAATTCAGGTCCATAGCCACATTAGGTCAATATATTTTTGTTTAAAAAATGAACTATTTAGCTGCACCATTTATTTTTGCAAATGGTCTGGCTGATATTGTTACTTCAATATATTCCCCAGTAAAATAACTAATTTTGAGTGTACTCCATATAACACTATTATGGACTGTAATCCACAACCCAGTTTATCTCATATAACTTAGAAAGTTATAACTCAGCAAAGATGGTATCCAGGAAAAACATTATATCACCCAAATAAGTAATTCAATGAAGAATTCAAAAGAAATCCTCTTTTGTGGTGTGATTCTCCTGAAAGAATTGTGTCAATTAACCGCAGTTTTTCCCAAGATTACATGGAAAACAATACTGAGTCCCAGCGTTGTCCTATACACTGAGGTAAAGATTATGCCAGTGAACTCACTATATTTTTTTTCATTTATTTTGATTAGTTGGAGGCTAATTACTTTACAGTATTGTAGTGGTTTTTGCCATACATTGACATGAATCAGCCATGAATTTACACATGTTCCCCATCCCGATCTCCCCTCCCACCTCCCTCCCCATCCCATCCCTCTGGGTCTTCCCAGTGCACCAGCCCTGAGCACTTGTCTCATGCATCCAACCTGGGCTGGTGGTCTGTTTCACCCTTGATAGTATACTTGTTTCAGTGCTATTCTCTCAGAACATCCCACCCTTGCCTTCTCCCACAGAGTCCAAAAGTCTGTTCTGTACATCTGTGTCTCTTTTTCTGTTTTGCATATAGGGTTATCGTTACCATCTTTCTAAATTCCATATATATGTGTTAGTATACTGTATTGGTCTTTATCTTTCTGGCTTACTTCACTCTGTATAATGGGCTCCAGTTTCATCCATCTCATTAGAACTGATTCAAATGGGCTCCAGTTTCATCCATCTCATTAGAACTGATTCAAATGAATTCTTTTTAATGACTGAGTAATATTCCATTGTGTATATGTACCATAGCTTCCTTATACATTTGTCTGCTGATGGGCATCTAGGTTGCTTCCATGTCCTGGCTATTATAAACAGTGCTGCGATGAACATTGTGGTACATGTGTGTCTTTCAGATCTGGTTTCCTCGGTGTGTATGCCCAGGAGTGGGATTGCTGGGTCATATGGCAGTTCTAGTTCCAGTTTTTTAAGAAATCTCCACACTGTTCTCCATAGCGGCTGTACTAGTTTGCATTCCCACCAACAGTGTAAGAGGGTTGCCTTTTCTCCACACCCTCTCCAGCATTTATTGCTTGTAGACTTTTGGATAGCAGCCATCCTGACTGGCGTGTAATGGTACCTCATTGTGGTTTTGATTTGCATTTCTCTGATAATGAGTGATGTTGAGCATCTTTTCATGTGTTTTTGTGCCATCTGTATGTCTTCCTTGGAGAAATGTCTGTTTAGTTCTTTGGCCCATTTCTTGATTGGGTCATTTATTTTTCTGGAATTGAGCTTCAGGAGTTGCTTGTATGTTTTTGAGATTAATCCTTTGTCTGTTTCTTCATTAGCTATTATTTTCTCCCATTCTGAGGGCTGTCTTTTCACCTTGCTTATAGTTTCCTTTGTTGTGCAAAAGCTTTTAAGTTTCATTAGGTCCCATTTGTTTATTTTTGCTTTTATTTCCAATATTCTGGGAGGTGGATCATAGAGGATCCTGCTGTGGTTTACGTCGGAGAGTGTTTTGCCTATGTTCTCCTCTAGGAGTTTTATAGTTTCTGGTCTTATGTTTAGATCTTTAATCCATTCTGAGTGTATTTTTGTGTATGATGTTAGAAGGTGTTCTAGTTTCATTCTTTTACAAGTGGTTGACCAGTTTTCCCAGCACCACTTGTTAAACAGGTTGTCTTTTTTCCATTGTATATCCTTGCCTCCTTTGTCAAAGATAAGGTGTCCATAGGTTCATGGATTTATCTCTGGGATTTCTATTCTGTTCCATTGATCTATATTTCTGTTTTTGTGCTAGTACCATACTGTCTTAATGACTGTGGCTTTGTAGTAGAGCCTGAAGTCAGGCAGGTTGATTCATCCAGTTCCATTCTTCTTTCTTAAGATTGCTTTGGCTATTTGAGGCTTTTTGTATTTCCATACAAATTGTGAAATTATTTTTCTAGTTCTGTGAAGAATACCGTTGGTAGCTTGATAGGGCTTGCACAGAATCTATAGATTGCTTTGGGTAGTATAGCCATTTTCACAATATTGATTCTTCCAATCCATGAACATGGTCTATTTCTCATCTATTTGTGTCCTCTTTGATTTCTTTCATCAGTGTTTTATAGTTTTCTATATATAGGTCTTTCATTTCTTTAGGTAGATATATTCCTAAATATTTTATTCTTTTTGTTGCAATGGTGAATGGTATTGTTTCCTTAATTTCTCTTTCTGTTTTCTCATTGTTAGCATATAGGAATACAAGGGATTTATGTGTGTTAATTTTATATCCTGCAACATTACTGTATTCATTGATTAGCTGTAGTAATTTTCTGGTAGAGTCTTTAGGGTTTTCTATGTAGAGGATCATGTCGTTTGCAAACAGTGAGAGTTTTACTTCTTCTTTTCCAATCTGGATTCCTTTATTTCTTTTTCTGCTCTGATTGCTGTGGCCAACACTTCCAAAACTATGTTGAATAGTAGTGAACTCACTATTTAGAAGCTTATAAAATAAATACAGGATATTCTCTGGGCTTTCACAAATTTTTGCAATGCTTGACAGGGTTATAGTGTATTATCTGGGAACCACTATTTCCTCCTACCCTAATTGGTAAACCCCCATTTCTCAAGAAGAATGAAAAAATGACATTGATGATGATTGTGAAGGTCTATCTACCCAAGTTATTTAGTGGTATTTTAAAGCTGTCTTGGAAATTAAATTTAATTGTCACATCATTGAGAGACTTAATTATGAAACCTACAAAACCTCTTATTCCCTACAGCTTTTCTAAAATTTACCCTACTTACGTGGAAAAAAAGAACATTAATGATTGCTTATAGATATAGTCAGAGGCATAACTGAAATCCTTGAAATAACAGAAAATTGTTCTGAGAATGTACTACCTGGAAAAATTTCATAAACATAATTTAGATGAAGAGTTGGCATCATGGTGATACAAGTGAACAATCATTAGCTTGCTTCTGCTTCATATTCAGCACGGAAAGCAAATGTTAAGCACGTGAAAAATCAAATGAGCATAATGAGTCATATGGATATATTGTTTGAAGTGTAAATAAAATTGTTTGCAATACAAATGGTAACACTATTCAGTGGGCCCATGATTATTGATTATAAGCATTCAGCTACTAAAAAGCATTTGTGATACGTACAGAAAAAGTTATTTTCATTTGTCAAGGAAATTACTTAACCATATTTAGTTTTCAAAGCTTGATCTTAAAAATCAGATGGATACATTTAAGCCATTATGTAATAGAACAGCATTTTCAATAAAATAATAAATTATATAAATATTTAAGTTAGGTATGTTATAAATAAGAACTGTCATTTAGTACATTTTATGACACTGAATTATTCTGTATTGTGTCCAGAATTAAATGGTAATCTTCAGCTTATCATAAAAAGTAGAGTTTAAATTCAGAAACAACTTAAGATCCTTTGGCATTTGTTCTAGTAATAAGCTTTCTTTTCATGGGGTAAAAAAGTGTTCAAACTACACCCAATACAGCAATACCTTTTTAACTTTTAGTTCTAATTTAGTGACAATAACAAGTATTTTTTTTTAATACACAATTTTTAAAACATTTTTACTGGAGTATAGTTGATTCACAATGTTGTGTTAGTTTCAGGTGTCCAAAGGCAAAGTAAATCAGTTATGCATATATCCACTCTTCTTGCATGCTCAATTTTACATTGTTCCCTATCAGCATAGAATTTCTTTAATTCATAGCTGGAGATATTCCTTGGAGAATATCAAAGTATAGAAACTTCTCTTGCTTTCCCTGGGGCCTTAGTTATCATGTTTATAATTAAAAAAGAAAGAAGCAGATCCCTGGCAGCAAAAGTTTTTCCACAGGCCCATTCCCTCATCTGAAACCCTTTGTTGCCACTGACTCTCACCATCAAGAAGGGACTTACAAAGCTGATTTTTAAAAAAGGTTCTCAATGTTCTATCCACATACCATTCTTAGTCCTTGAGGGAGACTAGTAGTATCATATCACATATACACACATCATTGTCATCATCGCATGTCGTCTATTTACCTCTACCATATTTGTTTCAGTTTATTCATCATCACTGACTTGATGGACATGAATTTGAACAAGCTCTGGGAGTTGGTGATGGACAGGGAAGCTGGGCATGCTGCAGTGCATGGGATCGCGAACAGTCGGACACAACTTAGCAACTGAACTGAATTGATTCATCTGATTCATAAATTTCCATTTTACGCTTGCATCCATAAAAGCAACTGCATAGCACATCTTTAAAACATTTAAAATAGCCCTTTGATGAAGTTGTTAACTATTAGAATTATAAAATAAGAATTATTAAAATTATAAAATAAGGATTATTGAAATTATAAAATAAGATGACATGATTTCATCTATAATCTCAAATGTTTACATTAAAGGGGTTTTTCTTCCTAGTTGCTGGGTAAGTGTAGGAGTAAAACTCCAACATAAACTTAAGATTGATGACAAAAAAGTATATAAAATATGAAAGCAATAAAAACCATGAATCAAGTTTTTGAAGGCTAAATTCAATAATTTTGGCAGTGAATTCCACCAACCTTGATCCTCAGAAAAGATAAGATAGAATTTTGGGTCTCACTTTCTTCAGTGACTGATAGGCAGTCTTGCCTTTCCTCCATTTTCCAAGTTCTAAGTGATTAATAGTAATGAATACAAGCAGAATAAATATAAATCCGATTGCGTGCTGCATAGTAACCAATGCATTTAAAGGAACTCAAAAACTTGGCTATTTTAGC